TCACCTCCTCCCACATCCACCCCCACCAAACCCCCGTCCTCCTGGCCATGCCAGACCAGACCAGACAACCCCGACCGCGGCACCTCCCGACCCCTGGAGATGCCACAGAGCTTGGGGCCCACCTCGAAGCCGTGCCAGGTCTCAATCTCATGGAAGAGGGAGTTGCCGGGGCAGTCGGTGAGGCCCATCTGGCGGTGGCCACGTAGGGTGTAGTTGCGGTGAAGCCGGCGGGTCCGCACGGCGCAGGGCAGGAGCCTGTCCCGCACCAGGGCGATGGCATCGGGGTCCGGCAAGGTGGCCGAGAAGTCTCCAACGTAGCTCACGCCGTAGCCTTTGCTGTTGTAGCCTTTGGTGTGGGCACCAACCCAGTGCCAACCTCGGCCTTGGTACAGGTACCCATCCGACCCCACCACGAAGCTGCAAGCACCCATGGGTCAACCCCAGCTGCCCGGAGACGGGTGACGGGGACTGCGGTGGGGTGACGGTGACAGAGTCTCACCTGTAGCCGATGTCATCCCAACCGCGGGTGTCCTGGTGAAAGCGTTGCATGGCGCGCATGTCCCGGGCGCAGGCGGCGAAGGTGCGGCACGGGGTGCTGGGTATGAAGGTGTGGTGGATGTAGACAGAGCCCAAGGGGAGGGTCAACGGTTTGGGGGTGCCCCGGTAGGGACGGGCACCCCACATGCACCGGGGCACGATGGCCGGGCACTCTGCGAGGGAAGGCAGGCGGTGGAAGAAGGGGACTTGCCTGGTCCCACGGGCAGGTGGGGACGTGGCAGCGTCCCCCTGGGGTCTTGGGGACACGGAGCATCTGCCCAGCTGAGGAACCCCTTGGCCTGGGACATGGCAGTGTCCTCCTGGGGTCCCCTCATCTAGGGGACGTGGAGCATCTGCTCCGGGTGTCCCTTGGCCGGGGACATGGCTGTGTCCAGTCTCCGGCGGACACACCGGTGTCCCTCCAGAGGACATGGTGGTGGCCATCCAGGGGACACATCGGTGGCCATCCAGGGGACGAAGCAGCGTCCAGGGACCCATTATCCAGGGGACATGGTGGTGTCCATCCAGGGACCACCATCTGGGGACACACCAGTGTCCATCCATTCATATATGTGTTTGGGATCCAGGGGACACAACGGTGGCCATCCAGGGGACCTGTGGGTGTCCAGCTACGGGACATGGTGGTGTCCATCATGGGGACACACCAATGTCCATCCAGGGGACACGCTGGTGTCCATCAAGGGACCCCCCCCTGGGGACACAGTGGTGTCCATCCAGGGGACCTGTGGGTGTTCATCCAGGGGACATGGTGGTGTCTGACCATGCCAGGCCACATGTCACCAGTCAGCTCTGAGAGTGCCACCAACACTGGGGTGACACTGGGGACCCCCAGCCCCACCCAGGGTGCAGCTCTGCAGCCATCCTCCCACCCAGGTTTTTTTTGGGGGGGGCGGGGGAGGAGT